GACATGACGAGGAGTCTCGAAATGGTCGAGACATAAAGATTGATACATTGGAAGCCTATGTTTGGATATCGGTAGAATATGTAGGAGCCAATATGGGCATCCAGGTCCCGCTATTGGTTATTGACGAGAGACATGTCTCAGTCATGTCTACATTGTTCTCGAACCCGTAGGGTCCGCACGCTTAAGGTTACGATGACAATTATATTATGAGTTTATGCATTTTGATGTACCGAAGTTTGTTCGGAGTCCCGAATGTGATCACGGACATGACGAGGAGTCTCGAAATGGTCGAGACACAAAGATTGATATATTGGAAGCCTATGTTTGGATATCGGAAGTGTTCCGGGTGAAATCAGGATTTTACCGGAGTACCGGGAGGTTACCGGAACCCCCCGGGAGGTACATGGGCCTTAATGGGCCTTAGTGGAAGAAGAGGAGAGGCGACCAGGGCTGGGCCGCGCGCCCCTCCCCCCTAGTCCGAATAGGACAAGGAGAGAGGGGGGCGGCGCCCCCTTCCTTCTCTCTCTCTCTTTTCCCACCTCGCGAGTCCTATTCCAACTAGGATTGGGGGAGAAGTCCTACTCCCGGAGGGAGTAGGACTCCTCCTGGCGCGCCCTACGTGGCCGGCCGGCCTCCCCCTCTTGGTCCTTTATATACGGAGGCAGGGGCACCCGAGAGAGACACAAGTTGATCCACGTGATCTTATTCTTAGCCGTGTGCGGCGCCCCCAGCCACCATAGTCCTCGATAATATTGTAGCGGTGCTTAGGCGAAGCCCTGCGACAGTAGTACATCAAGATCGTCACCACGCCGTCGTGCTGACGGAACTCTTCCCCGACACTTTGTTGGATCGAAGTCGGGGATCGTCATCGAGCTGAACGTGTGCTAAAACTCGGAGGTGCCGTAGTTTCGGTGCTTGATCGGTCGGGCCGTGAAGACGTACGACTACATCAACCAAACGCTTCCGTTGTCGATCTACAAGGTATGTAGATCACACTCTCCCCTCGTTGCTATGTATCATCATGATCTTGCGTGTGCGTAAGAATTTTTTTGAAATTACTACGTTCCCCAATAGTTGTAGGCTCAACTGTGGCCTGGTGGGCTACTGAACTAAACGGCCTATATGTATCGAGGTTTGGAGCAGAAATCCAATTCCACTCTTTGGAGCATATGCTCCTGTGCACTAAACATATATCTTGTATTCACCTAAAAAATGTATTTTACAAATGTCAAAAAAATCTTTAAAAATAGATCGATTCATTGTAACACTCAAATATTACCTATAAATTTTTAGGCGGAAAACCTAAGCATTTTGGCTTGTGTAAATTTTTTTTGAACCTCAAATATTATCTCCAGATATGACGCTTAATTTTGGTTTTCACCGACGAACCATTTCTATCCATTTTCGCATGAAAATTGTCAAGTATGCTTGTTACACTAAGTAGAACATTTACACAAAAAATCAGAGTTTTAAAATTAAATGTACTACTCCCGATTCCATCCAGAAATACTTATGAGAAAAATGGATAAAAATGAATGTATGTAAAACTAAAATACATCTAGATACATCTATTTCTCCGACAATAATTTCAGACAGAGAAAGTATTTTTTTTACTTACTGTCCATCTGAGAGCAGATGCACCCCAAAGCGAAAACGGCCATCGGTTTGGAGCCCCTGCTCTGTGATTCTTGTTGTTTGCTTTACAACATCACACCTACGAAGCAAATTATGAGGCATACATGACTAGACATGCTTTTATTTTTAACTACTGTTTTCTGGATGATAATCTTTCTAGATTTATTGTTTCACATGTAATAAACAAATTTTTAATCGTGTTGAAATAAAGTGAGCCATGAAGACTTTCTCTAAAAAAATGAGGGGTACTTGCTGGATGGGCCTCCCAGCGGCGATGCACTGAGGGGTAGTCTTGTGGTGCACCCTGCCGCCGCCATACGTCATGCGTCAGGTATACCCCGTGAAAACATGTTTTTTCATCCATTTTGGATTTTTTTCAAGGATTTTTATTTTTTCTTGGATTTTTAAAATTTTCAAGGTTTTTTAGGTTTTTAAAATTTTCAGGATTTTTTGTGCTTGCGTTCCATTCCCAAACCTTGATACGTATCGGGCTAGTGAACTGAACGGCCTAAAGGTTTGGATTTTAAATTTTGGGTTTTTTCAAGGTATTTTAGGTTTCAAGCGAGGTATAGCCGCGCCCGCGGAAATGCGGGCGAAGATAAACTTAAGTGGGCCGCATGCCCATCCATAATCGGGCCTCCTTTGTACAGCAGGATGAGGAACGGGGGGAAGAGGAGAGGATTCCTAGCCCTCAAAAAAAAAAAAAGGAGAGGATTCCTCAACCAGTAGCCACCGGCCGATGGCGACGACGGCCACGGGGTACGGCTGCTCGGCGGCGCTGTCGTTCCCGGGGAGGGGGAGCCCCTTCGCCGGTCGCTCGCCCCCGTCCCGCGCTTGCCGCACCTCCTCCAATCCCAAGCTCCGGACTCCCGCTCCTAGGTACGCTCCGGACTAGCTTCTCCCTGCGTCGGATTCAGCTCAGCAATGCC